ACGACTGGGTTCGAGGTTCATTTGAGGAGAAGTAAGTTTCCATACACTGAGAATGGCTTTCTGTTTTTGCATTCGCTAATGTTCGTCTGACAGGAAAATACCTTCTTGCGCTTAAATGCCTCCTTGCCGCCCATGCCATTGATTCTTCGGATCCCACATTGCATGTTCAGCTTCTTCGCTTCCGACAAGCTCTCGACAGTCTGCAAGAACCGCTCCCCGCGAAGATCTCGGAGATCGTCTCCAGCGAGTTTGAAGCATTACTTCCCAAGTCCCAGCCACTTGATGAGTGGAACGATTCATTCTTGGCTTCTCACAAGACCAGCGTGGCACATGTCCAAGCTGCGCTTACCGCGCGACTGCTTCTCAGCCCCGACTCCAAATCGCAGTGTGAGCAAGACCTCCTCTCCACTCTCGACATGGAAGATGCCTCGTTAGACAAAGCCATTGCAGGTCTCGACTTGCTCAACGAGTGGAGGAGCAGTTCGGCTGCCAAACAAGCCTACATTGAGAAGGCCCACCAGAAGTGGAGTCAAGCGTCAGCATTCCAGCCAAAATAACGAAATAGCCTTGCCTCCTCTTCCTCTGCAAATGATAGGGTTGGTCTGGGGAAATATAACTAGCATATTGTCCACCTTTTCCCGGGTGTTGCTCGGGAGTGCACATGATGTTGGGCCATGGATGGTGCGAGATAGGGTTTCACTTTCTCTCAAGTGCCGTTCTTTTTCCTTCTCACCCGCTGTGCGAACTACCTCGGGGTGTCAGGTGTGACCCCTTTTGATGTGAACTATATGGAAAAAAGTTCCTATATGACAGTTGAATGTTCTGCTGCTCGTGGGTTATCATAGAAGGTAGGTTGGGTGTGTGGGTCTGGGTGTGTGTGTCCTATCCCATCCCGTCATGTGTACCAGAGAATGAATGAGATATACGAAAGACACAATTGGCATTTCCAAAGGCTTTTCTTCTTTTTTTTTGTATCGAATCTATGGAAGTCTATAGTTACACTCATCTATCTATCCATCAATCCACTTAGGTACCTACCTACTAACCTATTGTAGATATCCACTAGGCAGCGTACAGTACATGCGTACATGCGAAAAAAGACTAACCGACATTATAATATACAGGTAGACAGACATAAAGTTTCAATAATAGTTAGTAGGAGAGGAGGGAGGAGGGAGGGAGGAGGTGAGGAATGGAGTGGATAATTCTCTTCATTCCCCATCCTCATTGTCGAGGTTGCCGATGATAGGCTTCCTCTTCGCCTGCTCTTCATCTTCACCGTAGCCGTACTCGATCCACAGGCGCTTCCAGAGAGGAACGTGTTTGGGTCGCTCCCCTTGGCCCAGGATCCATTCCTTGCCTTCGGCGATTCGCTCCGCGCGCGCCTCTTCCTCCGGAGGCAGGACGTAGCGACGCATTCGGGAGGCGATGCGCGGGTCGAGAACGACGTCGTCGAGCCATTCTCGTTCTTGCCTTTGCTGCTCCTGGTTGTTGCTGTTCTTGTTGTTCTTGTCCTCTTCGCTCTTTTTCGCGGCTTTGCGGACGGATTTGTGCCACTCTTCTTCTTCGTGTTCGAGGGCGGTTTGTTGCTCGTATGCCCGTGCGGATGGGCTGGAAGAGAGGTCGGAAGAGACAGGTTGCGATGAGAAGCCGTCCGTAGTAGCACCGAGCTCGGAGTCAGTGCTGTAAGAACCGTCTTGATACGGTCGGGTGGAGGCGGCGAGGACAACGGCGGCCACCTCTCGTCCCACGCTGTCTGCGAGATAGCGCTGCGTAAGGAAGCGGTAGATGCGGATTGGAGTGTTTAGAAATCCAAGAATGTGCGGGAAAGGAATCGGCGAGGAGGCTTCAAAAGTGGACGGGATGGTGGCAGGGAGACTTCGGGAGGAATATTCGGCCGGCGAGATGTACGCGGGAGTGGGACCCTTTGGTTTGGACGCTTCTTCTGACTTTTTCTCTTCCTTTGAGTCGGCTGAATCTTTCTTTTCTGACGTAGGAGAGGCATCATCTGAAGTCTTCGTTTCTTGTTCCTTGGCGTCCGGGGCTGGCTCTGCGACTGGAGGAGGTGGTGGTGGAGGGTCTAAGGGGCCAAGCCAGCCTTCGTGAAGACCTCGAATATATTCCTTCCATGTATGACGTCCAATAACTATATCCCCACGTGGGCCAGGCTCGTCGTGGACACCCATCCTTTGCCGGATCTCCGCGATGGCAGTATCCGCGTTCTGCTCTTCGACCACAGTGCTTCGCTCGCCAGCCTTTCGTCTGATGCATCGGATTTTCTCTGCCAGCCCGGCTCGGACATCCCCCTCTTTTCTTCCTTCAATCACTTCATAGTCCACCGCGGCGGCAACCAGCACCGGCTTGACATATTCTTGAAAGTACTCCCTGGCCACCCGGAGGCCGTCTCCCGGGGGTGCTGACAAGAACACCGTCAATTTCCTCCGCATCTGTTCCACAGGCAGGGTCTCCTTAGAGATATGGGCGACCAAGGTAGACCATTTCTGCTGTGCGCGCTTCTTCTGTCGGCGATCATAGATGAGCGCACCGGTAAAGGAGCCCGTGATCGTAAGGAAGATCATCCAATTCCGCGAAGGCAATTTGAAGCGAAAATTAGGTAACCCTACTAGTATGAGCCATTGCATCAGAAGCACTACTACAGCAAAAGATCATACCGAGCATCTTGAATGCCGGGTTTGGCGGCCGCGGAGGAGCTTTCGGCGGCGCATTCTGACCGCTTGTAGTCGTAGCGGAGGAGGCTGGAGAACCTTCCGCCATGATCGATCTGATCTATATCAGAGAATAGAATAAATAAAGAACTTATTCCTTGCAGGGCCGCAGAAGACCCCCAAAATACAAGGGAGTAGGTAGCTATGAATGACGGCCAAAAAAGTTCGATGCCGCGGAATCTCAACGGGGCGACGTTAATCCGCACGGAGCCGCTAAACTCTATCTGCACTTTGTACGGGTATGCAGAGTAGACATGTAGGTAACAAAGTGCCAATCCTGCCAGACAATACCCTTGTTTTTTTTTATTGGAGATATTGACATTGACTGTCCTTATTCTGACGGCTATAGTCTGGGAGATGCTGGCTTCTACTAGCTCATTCACTGACAGGACCTTTCTCTGTGAAATTGAAATGCAACCTCTGATTGTATCCTAGATATTCCCTTGATCTCTGCGAAAAAAAAAAGAGCAAGAAGGATGTGACGACCTTCTGACCTACCTTAGAAACCAATCATGTGACATAGATTGTCCTCTCTGGGGACAGTGGTGTAGGACATGAAGTTTCACCAATGTTTACCACCCCACTAAGAGCAGTGCGACCAGAACAGTAGTATCGCCCTTGCCTGCATTCTGCTGGACATCTAGGTGTCCTATGTCCATGGTGTGTCAATAGTCAATACCACTCTGTATTTTGTAGACTGGTGGAGTTACAGTGACCATCAAGCTGGCAGAACGTGTTCTGCTCCCAGGACAAAGTGCCTGGCCTGCCCAAGACCCCTTAGACTCCCTGGAGCTTCCGCCAATCTGCGTGCGCGCCTCTCCACTCTCCCCCGACCGCCTCGCCAGTCTCGCTTGGCGCTGCCTCGGGGACAACTCAACGTCGGCTCTGGGAGTTGTCGGTGCTGTCTCCCTCCTCCCTCGAGGTGTCTGGCAGGTTGGGTTTGCTGGACTATCTCGTTGCTGCTTGGATTGTTTTCTGTTTGATCACAGGAGTCCTCTGGTCTGAGAGCGACTGTCAGGACTGGCCAGCGATCGGCATCGCGTTTCACCTCTTTGGCCCACCTCCTGAAGTCTCTCCCATTCTCTCCTGATTGTCCCCCTCCTCTGCACCTTCTCAGCTCACCACCCCTCACTGGCAGTCATTGACTGTATCTGTGGGCTATTGACCGTGCAAGATCGCTCACAATGGATCCGAATAACAATCGCCTGCACCTGAACTTTGGGTACAATGACCGGAACTACAATGTAGCCAACAACCGCGCCTACCCCACAACGCCCTCCGCATTTCCGCAGCCCATGTACCAGTCTCCCGACTACATCGACGCTCACTCGGCCCAGAATGCTGCTTATGGGCAAGGATACTTCGTGAACAACGCCTATGCTCCTCAGCAGCCGCAGCAGGCCCATTACCCCCTACAGCAGCAACAACAGTATGCGCCGCACAATCTGCAATCTCCCCAGCCAACCTACCAGGGTCGCATGGGCTACAACAATGCCAACGACGGCACCAACGGCTTAGTCCAGCAGTTTTCCAACCAGGATCTGAATGCATCGCCCCGTGCTGGCCTTTCTCCCCGTGCTGCCTCCCCTGCTCAGCGTCCCCGCACTGCCGGCTCGGCCGCAGCACAGCAACAACAGGCGGGACATCTGGCGCCCCGAACAACCGCAGTCCGAAGTCCCAGAATGAGGAAGAGGAGCTTCCGCGATTCCCGGAGCGATACTCGGACAATGTCCACAAGCGTGGAAGGGCAGCGAAGGAGCTGGTCAATGTCTTCTTCCAAGAGAACATTGAACGCGCTCGCGAGCGCAATATGCGGTATGTCCTCGTTTTATATTCGCAGATGATGGAGTCTGCATGCGGATAGTCAATTACTAACCTGCCTTGATCCTGTACAGTTCTGCCAACCTCGACAAGCTGCTCCAAAGCAACAGCATGCCCGATGCAAAGAAGCGTCAGGAGGCGGAAACTTTGGCCAAGAAAGAATCCAGGTTCCTCCGTTTTCTGCGCACCAAGGAGACTCCCGCAAACTTCCAGACCATCAAGGTCATCGGAAAGGGTGCATTTGGTGAAGTCAGGCTGGTCCAGCGGAAAAGCGATGGCAAGATCTATGCGCTCAAATCCCTCATCAAGTCGGAAATGTTCAAGAAAGATCAGTTGGCCCACGTTCGTGCCGAGCGAGACATCCTGGCGGATTCCAAGGACAACCCGTGGCTGGTCAAACTGCACGCCTCCTTCCAGGACAGCGCATATCTATACCTTCTGATGGAGTTCTTACCCGGCGGTGATCTGATGACAATGCTCATAAAGTACGAGATCTTTTCCGAGGATATCACCCGATTTTACATGGCCGAAATCGTCATGGCAATTGAGGCCGTGCACAAGCTTGGTTTCCTCCATCGGTAGGTTATCCGTTTAATAATTAATATTGGCAGCTCATGTGTTTACTATTAATTCCAGGGACATCAAGCCGGATAATATCCTCTTAGACCGCGGTGGTCATATCAAACTCACCGATTTCGGCTTGTCCACCGGAGGGAAGAAGACACATGACAATGCTTACTATCAAAACCTCCTCAAGAATTCCACTGCCAAGGACAAGAACCGCAACTCGGGATACTTCTCAGAATCCATCAACCTGACCGTCTCCAACCGTAGTCAGATCAATACCTGGCGGAAGTCTCGTCGTGCCATGGCCTATTCTACTGTCGGAACTCCCGACTACATCGCCCCCGAGATCTTCAACGGCCAAGGATACACTTATCTGTGCGATTGGTGGTCGGTTGGTGCCATTATGTTCGAGTGTCTGGTCGGATGGCCTCCATTCTGTGCGGAAGACACTACGGATACCTACCGGAAGATCGTAAACTGGAAAGAGTGCCTTTACTTCCCTGAGGATCTCGTTCTATCGCGTGAGTCGGAGTCGTTAATCCGAGCGTGAGTATCCCCCCTTCCCTAAACGATCGATTGCCCGTGCTGACTTTCAATTCCCAGCTTCCTATGCGATGCCGAACATCGTATTGGTAATGAAGGTGGCCAGCACGGCGGTGCGACCCAAATCAAGAATCACCCCTTCTTCCGTGGAGTGGTGTGGGATCAGCTGCGCAAGATCCGTGCTCCTTTCGAGCCAAAGCTCACCTCGAACGTGGATGTATCCTACTTCCCGGTCGACGAAATTCCTCAGGAAGACACCAGTGCGCAGCACCGTGCTCAAGCTCGCGCAATGCCGGAAGAGCAAGAGGCGGAAATGAGCTTGCCCTTCATCGGCTACACGTACAAGGCGTTCAACGCTTTCCAGGGAAGTTAAACAGGCAGCTGGTTTGCACGATCATACCCCTTCCCACGGACGTCAGCTCTGTTGGGACTCGAGTGAACATCTGTTTTTTGACTTTACACGTCACTGGGCATGCAGCGAAAGTATTTTGTTTTACCATAATAATGATGGTCTCTGCATTAGCATCCAGCACTTTTTTTTTCTTCTATTAGAAGCAATTTACGAATATCCTGGGACGAAATAAAGCATCTTTTTTTTTTGTTAGTTATTCATAAGCCAGCCGTTGATGGTGAAAAGCAGGTGCATATCTGAGTTAGAGTTAGCAAAGAGAAATTCTTTTCAGCGCTGATGGCGTCAATGTTAAATCTCCTAAACCGTATAACACTATAACGTTTAACTGCTGCGTAAGGGGGAGAAATCTAGTCGACGGCAATTTCCAGGGTGCGAGGACTTCGTCGAAACGAATAAGGAATTTCTTCTAATTCTAGCGTAGGAATGAATAAGCAAGCATCGTCCTTTCGATAACTTGTATTATAAATCCTAAAGGAAGGCTTCTAATTATGTGCTCATAACAAAACCGTACTCCCAGCTAGGACCCGAGCAAAGAAAAAAAAAGGAAATTACATGGCCCCCTCTTAACGCCATTCATTTGAAAAACAAAATCCCAATTTTATACTTTTTGTTCCCTCCATGCAGTGACCAGATATCATGTCCTAAGACTTGGGAGCCAACCCTGGAACTCCGCTGTATCTTTCCTCCCGCTCAGTCTTGAACATGATCTGGATCCAAAACTCCTTGCTGTCTTCATCCCACCATGTCCAGTATTTCCCTTCCCGGCGATCGATCTCTCTGGCCTGCAACTTAAACCCACACGTCTGGTACGGCTCTGCGGCGACCAACAGGTACTGAAAGTTCTTGTCGGGGGGTTCGTCCACTTTCTGCTCAAAGGCAGACATGAAACGCACCCGGGGCACGACTCCCGGTGTGATTTCCTGATACTGCAGCTGGAACAGCAGACCCAGCTGTCGCGTCATGGGATCCCGCACCTTGGTGATCTTGTATCCGGGACGACCGATCTTGACCGTGTTCTTCTTCACCTGCACGCCCATCGCACCGGGCATGAGGGCGGGTTCCTGATTCTTGCCCTCCTTCTGTTCTCGCGCCGCTCGACGCGCGAGGTTGGTCTGGTGTTTGCGGCCCTGCGTGTGGGCGAGGTAGGAGCCGTCATTCTGGTGCACGGTCAGACATAACCGACACTCGAAGCTGCCGACGTGGTTCTTGAAGAAGTACGGATCCTTGTCGAGATCGATCGTCTCCAGCGCAAGCTTGCGGAGACGTTCTCGCCGGTCAGCATTGGTGGCCGAGTGCGATGCGACACCACCGCCACCGAACTTGGAGCCTGCGCGGTTCTATTCAAATCAAATTGATTTGGTTAGATTGGGTCCACGCAAACAAACATCTCTAAATTGAATGTACTCACCTGATAATCCATGGCGGCTCTGCTTTGCGAGCGCCGCTGTCTATCTCTTTATATGTAGAATATGCTTCGTTGGAGTATCAGAAGCTAGTCGAAGGCTCACTTGACGTTGAATTCAGTCGGTGGCGCTCAAGCTTGGTTGGGCGGAGATGAGCGGCAGAATAAGAAGCGTTCAGCAAGTCTCCGCGCCCAGCATGTGATCCGCGAGCTGTCATTGGCTGCAATGCGTTTTAACTAGAACACCACTTTATCATGGAAATAATACTATGGAAATACGTGCGTACTATTGCATTCGATATATGATACCCAGTTATGTGTCTTTGATGCAGATATGAGTCAGAACTTCTACGAAGGTCAGCGATTGTCCTTCGAGGGTGCACTATGCACTGTTCGATACATCGGTGAGGTCGAGGGCACGAAAGGCGACTGGCTCGGGGTCGAATGGGACGATCCAACGCGGGGGAAGCATTCCGGAGAGCATAAGGGAGTAAAATATTTCACATGTAACAACCCTTATCTTTTTTTCTTCCCTTTAGGGCCTAATCTTAATGACAACTTCCAATATGCTTATATGAAACCTTTCAGGCAAGAGTAAACAACCTACGGCGGGGTCGTTCGTCCGGCCAAATAGGCCCGCCGATCAGCCCCGGGGTTTCCTCGAGGCGCTGCGTCAGAAGTACGCATCTGAATTTGAAGAGGAGTTGGCGAGACGAAGCAAAGGCGAGGATGCTGCTCGATTGCACGACTTGATCTACATCGGCAGCAAGGTCGTCGAAGAAGTCGGCTTCGAGAAGATCAGGAAGCAGCTCGCCGAATTGCAGGAGCTGAGGATCGTTCTCCTGGATGGCTTACTTGTCGCAGGTGTCCTGGCTGATCATAATAATGATGACCCTGAAAGGAGGGAGGAGGAATTGAGAAGAATCGAGAAGACTTGCCCCAAAATTATTGAGCTTGACCTCAGCCGAAATCTTCTCCGGCGGTGGCTGGACGTTCAGGATATATGCAAACAGCTGAAGCAGCTCAGGAGGCTGAAACTTAAGTAAGTCTTCATGTCCTCGTTCGTCTCTTTGATTTATACTGAACCCCTGTACAGCGGGAATCGTTTTGAGACTGTCCGGTCTGGTCTGGTATTCAACGGCATCTCCGAGCTGCATTTAGACGAGACATTCTTGTCCTGGGACGAGGTAGGAGAATGGATCCTTTTCCATGCAGATTTCACGACTATACTTATCTAATTGATCGTTATATCAGATTGCCCTCCTATCACATCAATTTCCCTCCCTGACATCCTTGACGGCATCTACGAACTACATATCGTTGATATCCAGTCCCCTATCTACAACAATTCGGAATTTGACACTCGAACACAACGAAATCACGTCATTATCGTCCATTCGACTCCTCGCATCGCTACCAAACCTCGAACGCCTTTCCCTGCGCGGAAACAACATCAGCAGTGTGGTCTTTTCAGAGTCTACGAATAACGATGATACTCCGTTTCAGTTCTCGCCTAGTTTGAAATATCTGGACGTTTCTCACAATCGAATCGACTCGTGGCTGTTTGTCAATGCGCTTCCGACTATCTTCCCCGGCCTGTCGTCGCTGCGAATCTCTGACAATCCGCTCTACGACCAACCCGTGGCGCCAACATATGTGACCAATCTACCCGAGAAACCGATGACGGTGGACGAGGCCTTCATGCTGACATTGGCTCGGCTCGGCGCTCTCACAACCCTCAATTTCAGCAAGATCTCCCAGCAGGACCGTACCAATGGCGAGCTTTACTATTTGTCTCTGGTCGGCAAAGAACTGTCCGCTTTCCCGCAGAGCGAAGAAAAGAACATACTTTCCAAACACCCCAGGTACGCGGAACTGTGTGAGATCTACGGCGAGCCGACCATCAAGCGGGCCACAGATGCCTCGCAGAGCACGACCATCAACCCACGATCCGTGGCAGCCAGACTGGTGAATTTCAAGTTCTATCTCCCCCTCTCTTCGCCATTGGCCACCTCAGGGAAGAGAGAGCAATCATGTGAGATTCCCAGGACATTCGACATCTACAGAATCAAAGCCATCGTTTCTCGTCTCTTCGAACTCCCGCCACTGAAATTCAGACTGATCTGGGAAACCGATGAGTGGGATCCTGTCGAGGAAGTCAATATCGGCGGGGAAGAATGGGACAGTGATAGCGATGGCGATCAAGAAGATGTGAGGGTTAGCCACGAAACCGGCTCTGGCTCTGAATCTGGCAAGATGCAAGCCCCCGTCATGACCAAAGAGGACGGAAGCAAATTTGTCAAACGAGAGGTGGAATTGACGGATTCGACGCGACAGGTTGGATTCTGGTTCGATGACAACCTACGTGAGGCGAGAGTCCGAATCGAAGCTCTGTGAGCAGGGTTCATTGATGCATGTAATGAGCCTAATTCGTATAAATCATCTGAACCGTAATCTACCTTTCCCAGTTAACATAATTTATGTCTTCAATTTCGTATATATAGTGGCTGTTCGATATGCATGTTGATGGGTGCATGTAAATACATGGTACAGTAAGTAAGTACACTTTGTTGCGGCGATCCAAGCTCCCCGTTGTGGCACTCCGGGACTAGCTTAACTCTCCTGCCAAGTTCTCGACCTCAACCACAGCCGAAGTCATCACAGTTTCAGTCCTACCATCTAGGCTCTCTCGCAATGGCAGAATACTGGAAGTCAACGGTAAGGTTTTGCTGCTTTTAATCGTACTTTTCTGGCCTTTTCTAACGACGTCAAAGCCTAGGTACTGGTGCAAACACTGCAAGGTCTTCGTCCGCGACACTCCCTTTGAACGGAACCAGCATGAAGCGACCGCGAAGCACCAGGCGAACCTGAAGCGGTTCCTCCGGGAAATACATCGCAACAACGAGCGCGAGGAGCGCGAGAAACAGAAGGCCAAAGATGAGGTCCAGCGACTGAGCAGTCTGGTGTCGGGAGCTCCGGGGGCAAGGGCAGCCGATTCAGCCCGGAATAATCGTCCTTCGGCGGCGTCTTCGGCGGAATCGCGTCCGGCGACTCTGGAAGAGAGGAAAAAGCAGATGGCTCAGCTCGCGGACATGGGCGTGGCGATTCCGGAAGAGTTTCGACGGGATATGGCCATGGCGGGCGAGTGGCAGACTGTCTCTGAACGAGTGATTATGCCTCGTGAGGAGAAGGAGGAGGAAGAAGAGAAGAAGGAAGGGACAGAATCCACGCCTCTGAACATCGGTGTGCGAAAACGCAAACATGAGGGTGAAGAGGAGGAGGAAGAGGAAGAACCGCAGAACAGGCCTGCCCGAAAGCCATGGGGTTCTGCCACGCGAAGTTATCCCGGTGCAGAGGAGGATGACGATCTGGATGCGCTCCTCGAAAAAACCAAGGATATTAAGCGCAAAGCCCCCGTCTCTGAAGGTGTCAAGCCGGAGCCGAAATCTGAAGAGACGGAAGGTCAACCGCAAAATGAAGGGGCGCCGCTCGCCCCGGAATCAGCCCCAGAACCTTCAATCAAAAAGGAGGAGTCTACTGAAGGGGATTCTCCCGCAGTTCCGCCGCCACCAGGAGGTGATGCGCAGGAAGACGTACCGGGAGTGGTCTTCAAGAAGCGCAAAAACAAACCTTTGAAAAAGTAGCACTTAATACGTCCATGGGGCTCTATTTTGTCAAGCAGTTCGTTCTCTGTCTCGGACAGATACCTCGATTCTGCCGAATCTGCGGTTCACAGAAGCCATACCTACCAGCTTCTATGGGCATCCGTCTTCCAAGAATGCTGATCCTGCTCTACAGCAGGACATGCTCTTGTATACTTTTACACCAGGATGCATGTGTTCTCAGCACGCACCAGCGCGCCTTGCATGAGGAGGCACAACCGTCTTGTTAACTTTAGCTGCGATCTGATAAATCGCATGGATAGGGGTCCGTTTATGTGCCTAGTGCAGGGTGGCTCTACTTGCTCTGGTCCTTTGATGTGGCATTGACCGGGATCAAATGTCAAGTCTTCCATAAGAGAAGGGAGACTTCTGGAAAACAGCTCTATTGCTGATGGCAATCCCTCCTTAGAGATTACTATGCAGCGTCTATGATGATAGCAATGCAATTGCTTCTCGCGCCAGAGAGCTTCTCAGATTATTTCTTAGTAAATAGACCTGTAGATGGCCAAAGATAAACAAACAAAATACTAGGCAATGAATCATTGATAGTAAATTTGATGAAGCTAAATTCCTGCCTGAGGCTACAGCCAGGTACACAGGCTACCGCAACTTGGTGCATGGGATCTTCTCAGATTTACTCTTCCGGGACTTCACAGATAGATGAGATACCATTCACTGTATCATCAGAAGTAGAACCAGTCGTGAAGATAGATATTTAGAAATTATGCACTGTAGTCTGTAAGCTTGTAATGTCTGAAAAAATTGATTGGCCACTGCATTGCCACTTTCTAGCAGCAGTTAATACCAACTATGGTCCTGATCAAAGATTTACCTGCTCTACAGTTTTAATTATCCACGTTCATCACTTGCAGCGCTGGCGGTGGTCACTTCTAAGTTAATTAGTGACTCTCCGCCGTCACGGTCCCGGGCCCTGCGCGGGCTTAAATTAGACGCGGTCAGATCCGGGCCTGTGCCGGAACTCACCTTGCGACTTTCCTCAGCTTTGTTCCTCCAGATTGAGCTGCCCTTGGGTACTCGACCTGGCCACAGGCTGCCCCTCCCTGTGCTCTCTCTCTTTTTTCCGATCGCATTGCGCTTCAAATTTTTAATTACCACTGTCTTCAGCTCTGGTCTCCTGTCGTGCTTGGCTGGTTGCAAAGGCGTCGGGGGTTGGCGATCATATTTATCAGTAAGTTACCTGGCAAAAGAGCTCTCTCTTCCCAAGGTTCTGCTCCCTTATCATTTGTTTTATTATCGCAATCGGCAAAACTCCCAGAGGTGCATTGCAGCTATTACTGCTCAGTGTGCTTGTTATTCAATCTGGAAGGACCACAGCCTTTTTTTTTTGGCATCGTGTTTCTCTGGTGGTTCTCTATGCCATCTCTGCTCGCATTGCCAGTAGCAGCGGCAGCTTATGCTTCCTGCGACTGCGATAACCTGAACAGATGCTTTCATGGCACCAGTGCTGGCAGTAGGAGCTTGCAGGTGGCAGAGCTACATACTCTTCCTTGGATGTGGTTATCTGCGTGTGTCTTCCTTGCACCACCAGCCGGATGGCATCGCGCATGAGCATTTTGCTGCTGCACATAACCACCTAAGGATATGAGCTGCTAGCTCTTGCTGCAATTGCAGAACATATTGACTACAATGCTATGCAGAGATCTACTGGCCTTTTTTACCTGCTTTGATCAAGATTTTATCGCCACTGCTATTGCCATCTCGGTGCTCATTGTTACCAGCCTACTGGTGAATTTGTGACTAATGTTGTTGATTGCATAGTCTAGATGACCCTTTAATCCCCACTGCCCCGTTATCGCCGAGAGATACACTGGAACTGTCTGGTTGTTGGTAGTCGGAGGAACTCGTGCAGGAGTCCTGCGGGAAAATGTCGGAAACCGATCCGACGTCGAATCCTCCACCCCCGGTATCAGCAGAAGCGCAAGCACCGGCGCCAGCGTCAGTAGCAACATCAGCGCCCACAACTGCGCCTGCGCCTGCTCCTGCGCAGGTTCCTGCTCCTACGCCGGCTTCTACTGCTTCTGCTCCCACACCTGCACCCGCACCTGAACCCGCGCCCGTGTCTGCGCCTACATCTGCGCCTGTGCCAGCATCAGTACCAGCATCAGTACCAGCGCCAGCGCCAGCGACAGTGCCAGCAACAGCGCCAACAGCTACACCGGCACCAGCGCCAGCTCAAACAGCTACACCCGCGCCAGCACCGGCACCGGCACCGGCACAAGCGCCTTCGGTACCAGCAACATACCCGTCTTCCACAGATGTCTCCTCTCCAAACCACCTGCCGACTCAAACACAGGCCCCAATTGGGTCGCCTCTACCGTCTACAATGCCTCCAATGCCGCCAATGGGACAGTACATTCCTGGATACTCACCGGGAATGCCACAAATGGGAGTGCAGGGCGGCCAGATGAGTTACCAACTGCCTGGGGACCCTAGAGCAAGGACGCACAAGAAGGAGGTAAAGAGGCGAACAAAAACAGGCTGTTTGACATGCCGAAAGCGCAGAATAAAGGTACGTGTGCACCGAGCAGTCGGGGTGGTTGGCGCGATGGGATGGTTGTGGTGCGGAGACGCGGAAGGTTTTCCACGCTATAAGCTGTCGCTTATTTTGCTGCAATACCTTCTATTAGAACCCCGCCCATTGCTGTCCCACATTTCAGGCCTGCGCGCACCCAACCTTTGAGTGAATAAATTTCCCAGCCTGCTAACATGCAATTGGTATTCCGTTCAGTGTGATGAAGGGCACCCGGTCTGCAGAAATTGCGTCAAAAGCAAACGCGAGTGCCTAGGCTACGACCCGGTTTTTCGGCCGCAACCCGCGCCGTCGGCCATACAACCAGCTCCAAATCCCGCCCCTTCTCTCGTCGTCAATCCTCAGGATCCTCCTTCCTCGTACCCCGCAGCGCCGCCTGGATACGTTCCTGCGTCGAGCCAGCCTTTCGCGCCGTCGGTGCAGTCAGACTCGTCCACTCAATCCCACGATCAAGTGAACAGGACCGGGGCCGAGCCCTCCGTAGAAGGGAGCGATACTATGTCGGCCATGGCCAGCGTTCAAGATGCCGTTGATGGCTCTCTGTCTCAGACCGCGGGGACTCCGTCTGCGACAGCGCCGTCGATAGCCAGGCCGCCGTCTGGGCAGTTCGGTAAACAAGGTTCGTTGTCCTCAAGGGCTGTGGTTCAGAATATTCTTCGACTGACGGACTTACAGATAAAGTCAAAATTCAGGACCTGCTCGCCCTCCAAGGCATTCCTCCTCCCCCTCCATATCCCATTGTCCCCATTCAACAAACCCGTCTGGACCAGATCCAGACCATCTACCTTCACACGTATGCGCCCGCGATCGACCGCTTCTTGGAAACGCGTTGGTTCCGGGATAAGGGTTTGTCTCAGCTCTTGACCAACGCTCAGCTTATGGCGCAATACTCTGCTCTTATTGACGCGTTTGACGACCCCAAGATTTCCGATCCTGCGGTCCGGAGCCGTGTTGAGAGCTTCGAAGCGTCGGTCGTGTGGGACACCATGTCCATCTGCCGTTCGGCGCGTAACTTGGTCCGCAACGGAAACCCAGAACCGATCCAGGAGTATGATCTGTTGACCGCGGCGAACCGGTTCGACGTCTTCGAAGCCCTCATCACGGATGACTATCTAAAAGAGAATCCGCTGCGGGACGACCTGAATCGGGACACACCCGCCAACCCGCCTACGCTAGCGGACCAACTTCGACGAAGATCGCTGAGCTTCTGGGATTGCATTGGGCATTTTCTTACCCTGCATGATAACGAAGCCGCGGCGGGGGTGGAGATCGATGAGACGCTGGCTCGCGCTCGTGGGCTGCTGGATCAAATCGAGAACCGAGACGTGATCTATTCGATTGCCATTGGACGCCATCTCGGGCAGCGCTGGATCGACTATCCCCGCAGCAGGCCACCATTCGACAACCTGGGCGATGAAAGAAATCCCGGGACCAAACTTTACGTGGCGCAGAAATTCATCGAAGAAGAGGCCAGGGAGAAGGGTACGAACCAGGTGGTCAGGCGGCTATGTGGGATGGTGGTCCGACTGTGGGAGATAAAATACAGTTTTTCGGAGCATCTGAAATATGTGCGCGCGTCGAACTAGGTGCGCTCTTTTTTTTCCTGGGTGCTCGCATGCACATCATGTTTTTTCACTTCTCTTGGGCTTCGGGACAGCATGCGGAGTTCAGGTGGTTTTCCTCGAATTCGGCGAACAGTGTCTCGGATGGGGTTGACAGAGGCGTTCTGAGATCTTCATATTGACATTGGGACATATTCTGATATTGTTTAAACGATACCGATGCATGTGGTTGTGTTTTTCTCACATCTCTCATCCCGATCATCCCGATCCTCCCGATTTTCTCGATCCTCCTGATCCTTCCTTCACGGTAGTCGCTTTGATACATACGGCTTCTGTCTGTACACCCCACCGAGGTATCATCATTTGTACTCGAATTTTTTTCCCCCCTTTTCTTTTTTTTTCCTTTACGTTTTCTTCTTCACATGAGATGAGATGAGAGACGAGGCGGAATTACTATTACGTGCTCTGTTGATGATGATCAAACAAAACAAAAAGCAAAAAAAGAAAAAGAAGTTCATACATGTGATACACACATACATACATACAATTCATGCGTGTACCTTACTTAAGATATCTTCTAGACCTAGTCTAGTCTAGGATTGTCCTATTATTAGTGGCACAGACAGGTTTGGTTCACCTTCATATGAGAAAGGGTGATCGATCTTTGTATGTATGTACCATTCATACGAAAAAAAATGAAGTAACAAACTGCTTATTTTTTTTCCCCCCAAGGTAGTAAGTAGTTAAGTTAGTTTGCCAAAAGTTTTCTTAGAAAAAAAAAAGAGGATGTATTAATTAATTAGGGTAGGATATATATGTATGAGAATTTCCTGCTGTGAAGTAGCCAGTTTATCTATATTGTATTTGTATTCGTATAAGTGTATGTATCTGTGTATGTATATGTCTTCATCTTCGTCATCCAGCTTTATTTATATTCCCTTTCTTTCCTTCCTTCCTTCTTTCTTTCTGGGTATTATTTCTCATTCATTCATCTTTATTATTATTATTCCCTCACAAATCCGCCTGTTCGGGAACCGGACTCTTCAACTTGCCCGTTTCGAGTGCCAGACGGACGTTCTCGATCGCCCATTCCTCCATGGCGGTTTGTGTCTGGAGGATATATCGTTAGCAAAAAGCCCACAAAAACACACAATATGATTGATTGATACACGATCGAGAGGCAGGCACCTACCTCAACAGTCCATGTCCCCATGTGCGGCACCAGCATCACCTTCGGATTCCGTAGCAGACCCGGGTGGATCTTGGGCTCTTCCTCGAAGACGTCCAGTCCCGCGGACCAGACTTTGCCGCTGTCCAGGGCTTCGACGAGCGCGGCTTCGTCCATCACGGCTCCGCGCGCGGTGTTGACGATGACGACGCCGTCCTTCATTTTCGCGAATTCGGGTTTGCCGATTATGTGGCGCGTGTTTTTCTACGTAGAGTACAAAAATTTAGCAGGTGGTTTGGTTATTCCTGAGGAGTACTTACATTCAAAGGCAAATTCAAGCTAAGCACATCGCTCCTCGCGAGGAGCTCATCGAACGAGACGTACTCCGCCCCGCCAGCCAGCTCGTCGCTTAACTTGCGCCGGTTGTGGTAGATGACGCGCATGCCAAACGCTTCGGCTTTCTTCTTCAGGTTGCGCCCGATGCCGCCCATGCCCAGGATGCCCAGGACTTTGCCTTCGGGGTCGTGGCCGAGCGCTGGCGGCGGCTGACCGCGCCATTTCCCCTCGCGCAGCGCCTGCATGCCCGTGTTGAAGTTGCGCAAAGCGCCGATGATGAGGAACATGTTCACGTCGGCGGTCGCGTCGTCGACGGCTGTCGGCACGTTCGATACCCGGATCGGAGGGTCTCGCGCGCTGCAAGCGTGGACGTCGATCTGGTCGTATCCAGCACCTAGTGAAGAAACGGAACACTAGTAAGTCGGAGCAATTCTGGTGGTCGGAGGAGAAAGCTAGCTGTACACACCGCAATGAGCAAGGAATCTCAACGACTTGGGCAGCGCCTGCACAATCTCCTCGTCAATGTTGCCCGTGATGGAGGCCGAGCCGAACGTGCGATACGCGACGACGACGCCGTCCAGCTTGCCGTCGCGACACTCCTGGATGAACTCTGCTCGATTGGTTGCTGTGGGAGTGACCAGGTCGGCGAGGCTGCTCAGGGATTGCCATGCTTGGTGTGCACTTGGCAGGATGTCTTGTTAGCGACGTTCATCTTTCACATGGCAGAAAGGCAGAAAAAGGACATACTGGTCGATCTGACCGAGAAGCAGCACTTTCGGACGAGTCATGGTTCCAATCGATGTTGTTCCGTGGTCGCGATCAATTTATGTCCCTTCAGATGCGGCTGTTAGCAGGTTGATCAATGGCAGCTTCTGTTCCCATCTTTTTAGAAACACGAATAAAAGAACTAAAATCTGACGGAGACGATATTGACAGTTTCTCGCGCTGATATATATCGATGCGCAGCGATAAGGAGAGAGTACAGTACAGTACATATCTGGATCAATCAATCGATCGCGTACCAAAAAATAATAACAAAACACTCTCAGATTGACAATCGCTATATTACCATCTATGAAGAAGGAGAAACAAGTAGTTAGTTAATAGTTAATTATTATTAACCAAACCCCACAGACAGAAAAGGCTGCGGAGAGAAATGCGGCGACCACTCCGAGGAGGCGAGAGCCCCGCCACCGTGCTATCAGACAGGATAGGGAAAGAGACTTAGATACCCGCGGGGAACTTGTAGTAGGTGGGGTCAAATACGAAGCTCACTTCAGTGTCATCGCTGCTTCTGCCTAGGTGGGCAATTATTCCTATCTAAGAATAATTATTGCCTATTTATGAATCCTGATGGGTTGTTTGTACAGTATGCTATCTCATGCTGCCCGGCCTATCTCCTTGGCGTCGCCGCATATACAGTGCAGCACAGAGTACATCATGTAGTACTCTTTGGAGGTAGACTATTAGACAAGTTCTCACTTGGGGAACTTGATAAATTCAAGAAATAACCTTTCGTGATCCTTACTTTTGGAATTGTGCGAAATATAATGGTAGCAGATGTAAATGCTTATCGATCCCCTTGCATAACAATGGAAAGAAACTCCCCTTCTCATGGCGTGATGTTACACATATGTAATATCAATAAATTATAGTAAATTAATCTGCATGCGTACTTTTAGGTATACTTTTGAAATCCTTGACCAGGCTGCGCCGTCAGCAGCGTACCGCCACTGCCTACACACCGTCGACGGGTCGAATAGATGCCAGGCCATGCATGACTCATGACTCGTCATGATTGTTTCTTCCAGAATGGATCGATCATCAATCGATCCCCCATGTCAGGGAACAGGGCAAAGTCTGGCGCATGCACGGCGCCATGCAGCACGGGCAAGAGATTGTCGGGAATCATGTCCGACGGTGAGATTGCATGGATGAGAGGATCAGCATCGTCTCATCCACGCGCATGCTCTGGACAAGCCCGACAGTAAGACTAACTCTGACCCCGATGTGACATGTGCATCGGAAAAGACAACATGCTCGTCTTGTCCGTCTGGACAGGCAACATCAGCTGGGTAATCCCTCCGTTAGAATTCGAGTCCAATCGAATTTCCTCCACCGTTTCTTGAAGCCATCGACCCGTCGGTCACCGCTTTTGCTCCACCGCCCCTGCCGCTTGATAATCTCCGGCGGCAGATCCAGCATCCCTCCTATCGTCTCCCGCGCGAACAGATCGCCAGACGGCCACCTATGGACATCCTCCACGACGTGCCCCAGTCCGCCGTCCAGCTCGAACCAGACATGAAAGTACGGCATCTCCTTGGCCAGAGTGCGACGGAAGGCCAGCTTCCCTAATCCCTGTTTCGCCTTGGCCAACGTATCGATGAGCTTCTGGTGCTGTGTCCATTCCGCGTCCGCCGCCAGGATCGCCTCCTTGAAGAAGGCCGGCAATGTCTCTCCGAGACTGTAGGGAAGCGGGACCGCCTCCAACGTCGCATGACGCTTGCGGTGAGGGTGCGCGGCGTTTTCATAGAAGATCACATCCCGGCCCTGGTCGTGGTACATCCGTGTCAAGCTCTTCATAAAATTCCGGATTTCTTCCCATTCATCATCGTCGCACTCTAGCAGATTGGTGTGATGTTGGATCGGGACAACGGTCGCACTACCCTCGCTCAGTTCGGGCTCTGTCGGGAGGGTGAGATAGACCCTGGTAGCCAGTGAGATCACCGGCGCCACAGGCGGAGTGTTGGTATCTTCATGGTAGCAGAGCGGACAGGTGTCCAGAATGCGGTTCATTTTGTGGAATTCATTGATGGCTGTATTCTTCAGATCCAGCTCCGATTTCTGCACTCGTTTCGCCAGCTTGTAGGCATTCTCGTCCATATACTCGAGATCGTTCTAGAATCGTTAGTATCAGTAAATTCCAGTACATGTGGGAATAGAGTAGACTTACATTGAAGGTCGAATCCTTCGCGATCCTCTCCGCCAGTCGGAGTCCTTCACCGCCAGGTTGGCCTCGAGTCCTTTTCTCCTCCCTCACCATGTCTTCGATCGTCATGTCCTCGTTCTCTTGCACCTGTCCGCGTTCACGGCCTCGTCGGTTGTCCACCGGCTTGACCTCCGCTCTCGGCCCGCCGGCCAGCATGCGATTGTGCGTGACGTCGAGAACCACCACGTCGGCTTCCTTGCGGTTTGCCATCATGCCTGCGGCGGCGTGATACTGTTCTTCAAGTTCAGCTGCGTCGGGCGAGCCTTTCATCTTCGCCTTCATCATTCGCGCTCGTAGTCGATTCAGAGCGGTAGCGTCCAGGTGCTGCGTGGTCCGAGCGGGAGGTTCGGTATCCAACGGCTTTCCCTGGCCCTCAGCAGCTAGCTCTTTTTCCTCATCTCGAGGCCGTGGATCCCTGTGGACTCCTTGTTCCAGTTTTCTCGCTTGGAAGAGCTCTCCGGTGGGTTTCGTTTTGCCAACGTAGCCCTCGCCATATCTCTCCCGGCGATCCAATTCCATTTCTTCTTCTCTAGCATCGTCAAAGGCACGTAGATCACCATATCTTTCAATAGCTACGTCTTCTACCTTTCTCCCCGTTTCTTCGGCCTCTCTGTAGACGGCTTTGAGCTTTGTCATCCTCCATTGAGAGCCTGCATCACCAAACGTATAATCGACCTCATGCTGTGCGGGTTCCTTTTCGATATTCTCGGTCACCTTTCCGTCCCGGAGGTCTCGTAGGTGTTCATTAAGCTCCTTCTTGTGGATTTTAGTTTCGATATCCGACTGCAGCATCTTCGGTTGGGGCTGCTCTTGCAGGTGCGGATCGCGTCTGTGAACGAAGTCGAAGTCTAGTGCAGACGGAGCTTCCATCCACGCATCGCGCTTCAGCTGTGTCTTGACTGGTTGTGCGGTCACGTCCTTCTCGGGAGACTCCCGATCATAGTCGCGTCGATGTCGGCGCTTGTGATCATGCTCGCCGGCATCGCCATTGTCATTGGAGTGCCGGGACCGCTTGTGTCGATGTCTCTCCTCGTCGTCACGACGTGAGTCTCGGTGTCGATCGCTTTCTCGTTCTCTCGACCGGGACGCGGACCGCCGGTGGTGGTGGTGATGGCGGTGATGGTGACGATGGCGTCTGGAGCGATCCGCGTCTCGATCCTCATCCCTGCTGCTCCTTTCGTGTCGTCTCTCGCGACTTTCGGCCAGCGACCGTTCAAAGTCTTCCAAAGTCATGTTGAGCCTTCCAAAGGGGGTTGGCAGGCCTCTCTTGGAGGGTTTGTGGTGACTTCGCGCGGCGAGGCAGCTCCGAGCTGAAAAGTTGCCGGGCGCGGCTGGCAGCAGATGACGTCTGGAGCATTCCCCACTCCCGGAACAGAAAGGCCTCGCCCCGCGCCATCAAAAGAATTTCTATCATCTTTGCGCACTCGACAAACACCTGCCTCTCGTGCACTCTTCTGTTGCAGATACGAGAATAATCACTGCTAGATCTGCAGCCATGGCGACCACACCGCCGTCGCCGGTCGCTGTCGTCTGTGTTGGCATGGCCGGTGCGGCGCCCATCTGTCTTGCTCTAGCTCTGAAAGATGCTTACTGACATCTGACGCTGCTCTCTAGGGTCGGGAAAGACTACGTTCATGCAGCGCATCAATTCCTACCTCCATTCGAAGCGACAGATCCCTTACGTGCTGAACCTAGATCCTGCCGTGCACTCGGTGCCCTTTGAGAGCAACATCGACATCCGCGATTCCATCAACTACAAAGAGGTCATGAAACAGTACAATCTAGGACCCAACGGCGGCATTCTGACCTCGTTGAATCTCTTTGCTACGAAAGTCGATCAGATCATTGCTTTACTAGAGAGGCGGGTGGATCCGAATAATCCTAGTAACCCTGGCGGGCGAGCCATCAAACACATCCTCGTCGATACCCCCGGCCAGATCGAGGTGTTCGTCTGGAGTGCGTCCGGGAGTATCTTGCTGGAGACGCTGGCGTCTTCGTTCCCCACGGTTATCGCGTACATCATCGACACGCCCCGGACGAGCTCGACCAGCACCTTCATGAGCAACATGCTCTATGCGTGCAGTATCCTCTACAAGACCAAGCTGCCGATGATCCTTGTCTTCAACAAGACGGACGTCAAGGATGCCGAGTTTGCCAAGGAGTGGATGACCGATTTCGACGCCTTCCAGAGCGCTCTGCGACAGGAGGAAGAGGCAGGCGTCTTCGGAGGGGAAGGCTCAACGGCAGGCTTTGGGGCAGGCAGCGGGTATATGGGATCACTGTTGAACAGCATGAGCCTGATGCTGGAGGAGTTTTACCGCCATCTCAACGTGGTCGGGGTCAGCTCGATGACGGGCGACGGCATCGATGAGTTCTTCGAGGCGGTGGAGGCGAAGCGGCAGGAATTCGAGCGGGACTACCGGCCGGAGCTGGAGCGGAAGAAAAAGGAGCGCGAGGAGGCTAAGGCGGCGCGCCGAGAGCAGGAGCTGGGCAAGCTCATGAGGGACATGAGCGTCTCTGGGGCTAGCCGGGGGGCACCGCGCGACCGGGATGCAGCAGAGACGGTCAGCGAGGCTGAGGAGGTGGACCAGGCCTCGCGCGACACCATTGGCGGGTCTGAGAGCGACGATGCCTCCGGGGATGAAGAAATTACTTCCGCTGGGGACGATTCGGGGCTTACAGAGCGCTACAAACAGGCTCTCGCCGACTCGACCGGCCATAAAACGCCCTCGGAGCAGGATCTGAGCTTTATGAGGTATCTGCGTGCAAGCAGCAAGAATGTCAACCGGTAAAGACCCTTAAAAAGTGGATCTCTACAAGAGCTGGCTGCCTCGGTACTGGTAGATGGCCATCATGCCGGTAAATGTAATGCATTTCTTTCGCTTTGTTTTTCTTCTTCCCCCTTTCCCCATGATCGAGATCGAAATTCTTGCTGCCACCCGTGCTGGCTTTTTCTTTCTTTCTCTCTTTTTTCTCGGCGTTCTCATCTCTTCAATTGTAATTCCTCCGCGCCGTCCCGGGAACTTGGGACCATAGCACTTCCGGATTTCCCTGCCAGCCAGAACCGGCTCTAGTGGGCCTGCGCCGTTTCCCTATCTCGCCAAGTTGCATGATTCGGACGACAGGGGGGCTGTGTTGTGTGGAGGTGTGGAGGTGAAGCTGACGCTGTTGGTCCTGCAGGCAGTCGACAATGCCATCGGATCCGGGATGAGCTTTTGCCGGCGGCGATCCGTTCGAGACCCTGCCAGCCTGCGATATCGCCGCTAGACCGTTGTGATTATTATTATCCCTATTAATTGACGCAAGTCAGTCAGGAGTATTGGGACCGGCGCGCTCAAGGCTTGACAAGAATGTCAATCGCGGACGGGGCTTTGCTTCCCCGGGCGGGCGCAGCTAGTAGCACAAGCCTCACTCCCAACGTCGCCATTCCTCATTGAGAAATGACTGGTTCCATTGTTTTGAGGAGTCCCAGGCTCTGTCGTGTTTCATGGTGGTTCCTCTGCATGGTCGTTCTTGGCTTGCTTCAAGCTATCAGCCTTCCGATGGACCTCCTGATTCTTAGTGTCTTACCAGTTATAGACTTGCATTATTCAGATTCACCTGTATTTAATAATGATATGACATCGCCTGGCATGGCATGGCGTGCTTATTCGTCCTTAGTGCCAATGCACGGATGTAAGTGATGGGTCCTTGAAATATTATTACTTACTGTATAATATCAGCCTTGTTCTGTTGTTGCGCGGCGGTCCCACCTCGAAGGATGTACGAGTCTACGACTGCTAATGCAGCTGAACAACCCGGGCATGTTTTTATTCTTATATCAGTCAGCTCTCAACGCTGGATGGTTAGGAAATATTTTCCTACAGAGTCTCACTGTTTCAGCTGTCTGCTTGCAGCATAGTTTAGCAGAAGCTGACAAGGAATGGCGACCAGAAGTCGGCGTGAGCCAGGCCCAGCTCCCTACGGCTCCATGGCGTGGGAAGAGTAATCATGAAGAGGAGGATCTTGATCAGGGCTTCTTACTGCCTGTGCCTGTGAATGCTACTCCTTTTTTCTTTCACTCTTTCTTTCTTCCTTTGCCCCATCTTCGAGGACAGTGACTGCCCTTCATCATCTTCTGGTTTTGACGTTGGCTCTTCTTCACGCAAAAAGTCAGTTAATTTCACTTCACGCACTTCACGCACCTGGGCTACAGTATATTAGAGACATTCACGCACTGGAACGCAGATGGGGCAATCCTTGTATAAATTGACCAGCGTGTGGTTTCATCTACAGTACTTTACGGATCCCACCGCACCTACTCATCCGAAACAGTGCGATCCTGAATCCAGGTATCGTTCTGCTGAGTCGAGTGAGAGGTCTGAGATAGCGAAGAAAACACACTCCAACGTCGAAGTCGAAGGTGGGGAAGTCATGGCGCGTCCAGAGCAGGAAATGTCGCCGGAATCTTGCAGTGTCATCCCACATACTGGAGTTCCAGACAGCGAAGAGTACCAGAAGATGATTTCGGGATCGCCGTAAGTGGCTTTTTCTTTTTATCAGGAAGAGAGACAAGAAGATGAAGTGCTATAAAACTTCTGAAACAAAAAGAAAAGAAAGCTGATAATGTCATGTCTTTCCTACTGCCCAGATATCGCGTTCTCCAGTGCCCTCAACTGCAGGCAAGGAAGCTTATGGCTCGCCAGTTCTGTGCCAAGTACAATGCCGATGATCTTGTCTTGAAAGATGCCTCTCTGCCTCTTGACAAGCTCTTTCAGGCTCTCCGCAAGGAGCGTGAACGCTTGTTGCGCACAATCCTTGGCAAGGTCGGCACCAGTCCTGTCATTGAACCTCCGTTCAACTTCCAGTACGGCTGCAACATCACTCTTGGAGACCGGTTCTACGCAAACGTGAAGTCAGTATTCCAGAAAAAAAGAACAGAGGGAGGGAGGGAGACAGGACAATATTAGAGCAGATTAGCTAACATCTTATTGCAGTCTTCGCATCGTTGACAGCGCCCAGGTCACCATTGGCGACCGCGTCATGATCGGTCCTGATGTGAAAATTGTCACTGATACCCACGACAAAGACATCGAGTCTCGCCGTAATGGAATCGTCTATGCCCGGCCCATTTCCATTGGAGACGACTGTTGGATCGGAGTGGGAGCCACCATCCTCCCTGGTGTGTCAATCGGGAAGGGCTGCACCATTGGAGCGGGAGCTGTTGTGACGCGGGACATCCCTCCATTCAGTGTTGCCTGGGGTGTTCCTGCCCGCGTGGTTGGCCAGGTAAAAGACCCTGATGCGGCGGAGTAGTTAGTCAATAGCTTCGGACTTTTCTTTCTTTTTTTTCTCGTTTTCTCCTTCTGATATTAGGGAAAAAAGAAGCATGGTAACGAAGGAATGAGGAGTCGGCGTTGGCTATTAGCCTATTACATGCCATGTCGTGACGATAAATTAGCAGTGGGGACTAGAATACTTTTTTTCCTGTCCTGTCATCACTGACTACATATTGCTAATTAGCATGGATCAGAAATGAAAGATCATGTGCCAATATTAATATGATCTTCATAATCTCTTACCCGGTCGGTGAGGTTCGTCTATCATCCCGATTGGGAAAGTAGCTTGTCTCGAACACAAACGCGACAAACATCCCGTAATGATGTCATGATTTAATATTACTTTGCAAGGGAGCTTTCGCAGCGTCATCCTAATGTTGATTTCTTTGAATAGCTGCAATTATCTATCTGCTCGCAAATGAGATTTTTTTCGCCTGTGCCTAATCGATAATTAGGTATACGATTTCCTAGCATTTACTACTAGCTGGCGTGCAGGGTACCTGGGTACTGTACATTACATGTAGTTGACCCCCGCTGCTGAGATGAGCGCTGATTGAATCCTCAACTACCAGGTCGTACTTTTTTTTTTTAAAAAAAATTCCATCTTTCCCGCTGACCAAATCTGGGAGCAAAAGCCCATTGATCGATTCGTGCAATCAGCATGGATGTCAGTAGAATATCTTCCTCATTCTTGAAGAGCGTCCTGCAATAATGCACACTGCTTTCAGGTGATGACTAGAAGGTCTTTTTTTTTCTTTTCTGACGTCTGATTCAATCAATGGGGATAGGTTTTCTACGCTTATACTTACGGAACCAGTTCCTGGCTTGGGATCCAAGGCCTAGCACTGGTCAGCACACCCAAGCTGATTGTGACGATGCTGCGGGATGAAGCTAGGCCGCCTACGGGTATGCACCATTCATACCTGATATCTATCTCGACTTCTTTTTTTTTTGGAGAAAGGAAACGCACACACTGACGTCTCGTTCTTAGATATCGAAATCTACTTCTCCCGTTGTTTCGGCTTCGGTCTCCTGACCATCGCCGTGCTGACGGTGCTGCTAACCGGCTCCATCCCGCTCACCGCTACCATCGCAGAATCCGTCTCGACGGAGGAATCGGATCCCAAAGCTCCCTACGCGGTCCCCACGCTGCTGGTCACGTCTCTCTTCCACGCGGCGTGCGCCTCGTACGACTACGCGTGGTACACCGTCAACGGGCAGACGGCGCTCGCTATCGGGATGGTCGGGTCCGGAGCCATCGCTTTTGTCGGGCTCTGGTGCCTCCTTTTTGCGAGTAGTCGGGGGCGCATCAGCAAGAGGACGGGCGCGGACAAGAGGACGTCTGGGTTTCCGTTCAAGAACGCGGAGGCGGACAAGCGGTTTGCGGGGAAGAAGAAGGGTCTATAGAGGAATAGTCCTAGGACGTTTACACTGTTATCCATTATCATGATGACAGTCAGGATCACGCAATCGAAGGGCTTGGAGAGTTCTCAGCTACTTTATTGACTTGTTCTATCTCGTCACTGGCTGGATTGGGTCACGTGCCATATGTAGAGAAGTTACGGCATCTATACTCCGTACTCAGTATGTTGGGCATAATCCTGCAGCTCTTCTTCTAGTAGAGTACATCCCTGCATTACTAATAACGAGCAATAATCCCAACAAAGTACTCCGTACGGGTATGAGGTTCGTATTCGTATATTCGTGCAGGCGGAGATAAGGCTTAGTCGTTGGCTTCCGCCGAGACTCCACCCCGAAATCCAGTGCCGCTTCAACGCTGCTGCCCCGAAACCTGCGTCCCCGATATCATCATCCACCCCCCGCCAGCACACGCTGCATACGCGCTCTGGGCGCTTCCAGCATGGATGGCCCAGATCTCCAGCACATCCCGGTGAACCTGCCGCTCGGTTCGCAGCTGCCGCCCGGCTTCGACCCGAATGATTCGCAGCCGTTCCAGACCTTTGCTTCGGCCATTGGGGACATGGAACATGGCCTTCCGGCATCCAACGCCTATGTCCGCCCCCCTCGACCCGGCGATCAGCCCAATACCCTGATTCACCAGCAGACCGGGGTCGTTCCTCCGCCGCGACCGCAGCAGGTCCCGTCAAGCGGGCCCTTCGAGTCGCGAAACAACAACAATAATAATGGCCGATTTGCGGTCCCTCCGCCGCGGCCGGACCAGGACCTGACAGCTGCGAATTCTCAGCCCAACCAGAGCCAGTCAGGGCAGCGGAGTCTGGCGCAGACGTCGCATAACTTCACCCCGAGGACCAGCGAGCTGGAGCTGGTCTCGTCGCTGGACCAGTCGCTGCAGCAGCCCGGAAACCAGCTTCAAAAGGATGGCAACCTCTTCAATGCCGCGGAATCGACAGCGGACAAACAAGAGGGTCATTTCGGCGGAATGAAACTGATTCCCAATCCGCCTGACCTACAAGCTTGGAGAGAGAAGCTCTTTAATGTCGATGAGGTGATCACCTTAACAGAGGAACAGTACGGCTGTCCTGGACCAGCCTCCAGAGGGCGCATGGAAGTTTGCTGACACCGGTGGCTTCTGACAGGTTCCAGACCTACTTTCCCCATGTCGATAACGTGTACTCGCATCGCTCGACTCAAAGGTACAAGCGCAAGCCGTTCATCTCGCATTACTGGGACTGTCGTCTGAAAGGGCGACCTCCTGGCACTCCCAAATCCGACGATCCCAATAAGAAGAAGCGCAGGCGGACGGCTCGACAGCGGGATCTCTGCGACGTCAAAATCAAGATCACAGAGTATTTCCCCGGGGCATCGGGGACTGATCCCGAGCTCGGAACGGCAATCGAGTCGCTACCAGCAGATAACGCAGCGGCAAATTCGTTCTTCGCCAACGGCGGTTCTTCCAGAGAGAGTCAACCTTTCGGCGTGCTTGCTCCCAGTCCGGCCCTTCCAGAGGGACATCCCGGCACGAGAGGAGCAAAATACTATACCATACAGCGTGTCAATGGCAATGGAGGCAATGGCAAAGGGGACGGTGTCAGCGGTGGTCACAGGCATACATTGGAAGAGAGCGATCGCGTGAAGAAGAACAGTGTCCAGCGATGGCTGCTGAAGCAAGAAAAGGAGAAGAAAAAGGCAGCGGTAAGTCTGTCGTTTGTTTTGATTGTTGCAGAAGATGGAAAGATAAAAAATCCACCCTTTCCCCCTCTCCATCTTGGCCCCAAGCTCGCTGCATTTGCAGTGAGAAGTACTACAACTCCGGGATCGCGCCTTCCAGAAACTCGGTTCTCAGGTCTGTGGATGGCGAATGCCCAGTCCGCCAGACTATTGGCTCTGTATATAGGGTTGAAAGGTTCCCGGAGGATAGACGTGCTGTCAAAAGCAGCGAGGGATTTGGACGCATACGTCACAACCCTCAATCGCATACACTCTTCCTCCGCTTCGTTGTCTATTCCCTATTGACATGTCCCCCAAACTGGCTTTGGATACTCTGATACACCCTCTTCTCGGAGAAAATCTCTTCTGTGCTGGGCTTGTCACCATCATCATCATCATCATCAACACGTTTCCCCGTTTCCGTTTCTATTTTTACTACTTCTATCACTATTTCTACAACACCAATCGCTCCAGAACGCAATACGCAACAACCATGACTAACCAAAATCAAAAGCAACAGCAACAGCAACAACAGCAGCAACAACAGCAGTTGCAAGAGAAGACGTATCACAAGAGAGCGACCGGGCAGGCCCTCGCGACAGTAAAGAAACATTCAAAAGAGTGCGATCTGAAACTATATGCGAGCTGTTTCTGGTGTGTTTTCCCCCTAAACGAACTTTCATTTCCAGGCGCCCTTTTTTTTTGTTACTAACCGCAGTCATGTGGATCTGCCAATAGTCCTTTTGTGCAACGCGTCTGGATAGCGCTCGAGGTCAAGGGCATTCCATATCAGTATATTGAAGTGGACCCTTACAAGAAGCCGGAATCGTTGCTGGAAGTGAATCCGCGAGGACTCGTCCCGGCGCTGCGGCACGGCAATTGGGGATGCTATGAGAGTAGCGTGCTTCTTGAATACGTAAGCATTCGTTGCCCACTCCATCCCAGCTCCAATCTGCATTGTCTAACATCCATCTACTTTATTTTAGTTGGAAGATCTCCAAGAAGGGACTCCGCTCCTTCCGCCTGGAGACCCTAAACTTCGCGCCCATTGTCGACTGTGGGCTGACCATGTATTGTCAAACCAGTACCACCTGCAACATATGGCGCGATAGCTGACTGAGAGAATAGATTAACCGCCACATCATCCCCTGCTTCTATCGCGTCCTGCAGGAACAGGATCCGCAGAAGCAAGTCACTTATGCCGAAGAGCTGAGAGATGAGATCTCGAAACTGGTCAATGCGTCACATGTCCACGGCCCCTACTTTCTGGGGCCGAGCATTTCCTTTGTCGACATTCATATAGCGCCCTGGATCCTCCGGCTCAGTCGGGTTCTCAAACCGTATCGCGGGTGGCCCGATCCCGAGATGGGCAGCCGATGGGCCGCTTGGGTCAATGCCATCGAGACCAACGAGCATGTCATGGCCACGACCAGTAGTGATGAGCTGTACCTGGACAGCTATCAACGATATGCTGGTGAGTATTATGAACTCTATAGCTCTTGAGAAGTGCCTGTTCGCAGACTGACTCCGCTTCGCAGAGAATCGGCCTAATACGTCGCAGCTTGCGGACGCGATTAACTCTGGACGGGGCCTTCCGTAGTCTCGTCATTTCTTTCATTTCGTGGCATTGCACCTGACCTGCTGCTCGGCAGGTCCGTGTAAATTGCATCTGTAGCCATATCGCTGGTAATATTTGTTTTTCATGTCGGACCTGTGTTGATAGGAAAAGGCGGGCCTTTGGGTTCAGACCGGTTGGGCGTCGGGCTTGATGGATCATGTACAGTACACTACCAATACCTTGATGTTTTCGCTCAAGCACCTCTTCCTCTGGAACCGAATCCAAATCCACCACGTCCACTACCGTCAGGCCCTCGCGGGCTTCGCGTAGGCTGGCGCGGAGACTGCTGCTCGCTGTCCGATCGGTCGGTGGACTGGGACTGGCGTTGCGGCCGCTCCCGTCTCTGTAGATACGACGAGTTCGGCTTGGCTGAGTAGTTTGGATCATAGAGCTGCCTCGATTTGCCTGACGATCCCGGGGAATCCCGCTTCTCCCGGTTGTCTCTGTCTCTGTCTCTGGCTCCACCGCGATTCCTGCCTCTACCGCGGCCGTCACCGCTGTTGTGATGATGATGTCTGGATGGTGGCGGCGTGGTGCTTCCGGTGGACGACGTTCCGGACCCAGGATTCGAAGAGCTGCCGAACAGTCTCTCTCGCACCTCTTCGTATTTGCGCTGTTTTTCCTCCAGGTCCCTGAGTGCTTTCGCCTGGCGCTCTTCCGGAGTCAGCTCGGGAGGTTTGTTGTTTGTCTCCTCTTCTTCCGAGTCTGAAAGATCCTTCCCATCTGCGTTGAGACCCAGGCGGGCGAGGCCTGCGGTGGCAGACTCGACTCCAGCTGCCTGCCGCGACGCAATCTGTGGCCTGCGACTGAGGACGGTGACAGCGGGCTTGAAGTCTTGCTTCAGCGGAACGGCCGATTTGGTTTCGAGGAAGTGGAATGTCTGCGCGGATTCACTAGATACATGTTAGATCATTTGAGTTGTTTCTTTTCTCTCTCTCTTTTTTTTTTTCGGGACGTACGCTTCTGCCCACAGCTGCCGGTTGAATTCCGCTTGCGCTGCTCTCCGCTGAGCCTTGGTGACTTTCGATGAGACTTTCTTCTCTGGAGGCTGTTCAGGAACGTCGGATTGTTTCTGCAGTTTTCACATTGTAATTTATTAGCAACAGAGATTTCTAGCTTCTGTCAGGACGCGTATTCAAGAATTCAATTTTTTTTTCTTTTTCCGTCGACCATTGTGTGACATCAGGTTCCCGGAATTCAAATGCAAGTAACCTACATCAGCCAGTTTCTCCCAATCGTCATCCCATGCGTCAGGAATTTTCGTGGGATTGCTGCTCATGTTTGGGAGCGGTTCAGTTGGGTAGAGCAAGGAAGAAAGGGATGCAGAAGAACGAAGAACGGCGCGGTTACTCGCTATTGCGCTTTCGAGATTTTCTTCTAGAAAAAAAGGTTGGCGATCCGGTATTCGAGAAGAAGGTGTTGTAGAGAGCGAAAAGTCGAAGTCCGACATGCGGAGCGACTGTCTGCTTGCCAGCTGGTCACAGGGAGTAGGTTGCGGAGGAAAAAAACGATCAGAAGAAAAAGACGGGGCTTCAACCCGCGCAGTAACGTTAGTTTGGTGATGTGCGGGGGCAATCCAGGGCCGATCATCCCATTCATTATTCAACCTTTCCGCCTGAGCTTGTCTTCCCCTCAGCCCTGCCATCATCGTTCACTGAGTAGATGTCTAATCCCTCCTGACAAGGGGGACGGTGATCCAGGCTAGTTCATTTCAATCCTGGGCCTTTTAACTACTCAGTCACTGTGCTGTCCCATTGACTGGCCAATTGTGCGGGGCCATCTGTTCTAGATCAGCTTGATACCGTGCACTACCGTCCCCAGACGGTTTGATATTGCAGCTTTTGTATTATTTTGCAAATAATTTGATCTAGCTTTCCTGTCTCTTATTCTGTTTAGAAGTTTGCTGAGATATTCTTCGTCAAAATGTCTACTGGTACGTCCATATCTCCATTCTTTCACGTCTCTCAACAGCCTTCCACATCAAAAGAATTTCTACAGCTTTTATGGCTTCTATCAAGAATACAGTGTCTGACATAACTCTAAATCCTGCAGATATCGATGGCGATTCCGAAATGCTGTCCTCTTCTGGGTCAGCTTCCCCGGCCGGCGCCCGTACACCCACCGAAACTCGCCAACAGTTTGCGGGTTCTGAGCTGTCTCCGCCTGGCTCTCAGACGAGATCACAGCATGGGGTCACGGGACAAGCTACCGCGTCATCTACTGGAGGTGCTGGAGGATTCGAAAAGACAGGCGAGAGCCATACCCCTACCGATGGAAAGGCGCAAACCACCGAGCAGAAGGAACAGCCGGGGGCATCGTGGATGAACCAGCGCGCGCAGGAAGAGTACCAGCGAGCCTTGGAGTCTGTCGTGGACAAGGATTTCAGCCTACGTAAGTCTGCTGCGGCGGGGTTGGAATTTATTATTGTCTGTAGGGACTGACATCGCATACAGAGGAATTCGGAGACCCGTTCGACGAGAGAGATATGACTGGACAAGGGTTCTAGATGCCGTACTAGCATTGCTTATCGAGTTTGGATCAAGAATATGTCGAATGATGACCTGGTATGCAGGTTGTCCTTTTCCTGCGGATTCGAATAGAAACAGCTCACAAGGTTTACGTGGCAGAGACAACCATACTTCTTGAGAGCAAGCTGGATAACTTTTCCTGCTTTGCATGTTATCAGAAAAACCTGAAATGACGAGAGAACCAGTGGGAATGGCAGAAAGCCACCATCTTTCATTTTCACGGGTACCACCGCCTGTCCCGGTCATCTCCATGCTCTCTTCTCACAGAAAACCTAATACCACGGTATTTCGGAGGAAAATCTCGAGCTGGCGGGTCTCTTGATTACGCACTCATGGAGGCGATGAACTGGTTATGATATCTACCCGCTGTCTTCGATAGGGTATGCATGACAGCCTTAAAGAGATATAGAGATATCCACGGGAGATAGATCTCCATGAAATCCATATCCATCTGTCCGAACGGAGTAGATTTCTAATGATATAGTTTCCAGGTCTCTAACTGTTCTTTCTCCTAAACCGTAGGTCTGTCTTTCTATAGACAAGAAGTAGGTCTACTACACCAACTGCATCTCATCGACACGTGGATTACACACGCCAAGTCTGATAGCAGTAATAATAGTGGCTTCAATGGCCATGCAGCTGGGGCAGCACGCGGGGAGATCCGGCTGTTGCTCGCGTTGGCACAGCAACGGGCGGCGTCCGGAACCGGAACAAGGACAACAGCGTCAACAACGCCCGACTGACCAACCAATTCCTCTGATCGCCGCCAGTGAATTAATCCACGCGACTCGACTCGCCATTGACACATGAATTAGGTATCTATCTACTCCGTATATTATCTGCCATTGATTCTTGCAACAATATCAGATCTATTCTTTCGCTCTGACATTGTTCCCGCGTGAAGAGAAACATTAAACATTCCGGGAGCTGGGTAGCTCGCTCTGACGAAAAGGGTCGACGAAATAGCCGGCTTCTCCGTCCTCCATGCGCGATTCCCCGTCTCTACCTATTATTGGCCTGTGATTTGAACTTCGCACACAAGGAACACGCGTGTTAGGAATATCTGTGGAGTCAGAGACCAGTCGACGACGAATATCAATCAGCATCGCAACATTCCAGTCCTGCGACACGCGCATCATGGATTCGGCCGCGGCTGCTCCAGACGCGACGTGCCCACCGTCATTGTCAACATGGTTAGTGCATACCTACACAAGTACTCCGTGCATACTACTACATACATGCGTGCTCTGGGGTCTTTGCGCTTTGTGACAGTTGTGTCTTTTCTCGTCTTGCGAGAATAACCCGCCGCTGGTTCTTCGACCGCTCTGGCATACTCCCTGCTAACACATGCGTTTCATGCAGCATCGCCAACATTGCCGATCAGATCAGTTTCACACCCCCCGTGACTAGAAAAGCGCCTCCCCGGCCTTGGGAGCGAGTACCGTCAACCCCGTTCTTGGCGCGTCACAAGTCGCGGAAGATCTGGAAGCGATTCCGGACCAGCATGCAGGCGCTCCGCGGGCAGATTGGGAGAGGGAAGATCGAGGAGAAGGAACTAGTCCAGGAAATCAACGCATCGGCGAATGCAGATTTTCTCCGCGGCGTGAAACGGCTGTGTCTGGGGATTGAGGGCCCCGATTCGCAATCTGGGCGGGGTCGCTCCTTTCTGGAGACCAAATGGGAACTGGAGACAGGCAGGAGAAGACGTGAGTTGCTGGATCTGCTGGATGTGGTGGGATTAGGTGATGATTGATAGGTCGCTAACAGTGGGTGTAGGCAAGGTGGCCATGGCGGCAGACGAGGATTCCTGCATGACTTGGGACTCTGAACCGGAGCGATTGGCTGGAACAGCGCAGGAGACTGACAGTCAAGACCATGAGCTAGCTTGCAGTGGAGAGGAGACTCAAGCACCGGCAGACACCGAGGAAGACCAGCGTGTCACGACACCAGAAACTAAAATTACGGACGACGTTAACAACTCCGAACAAGTTGACCCCGCAGCAGACATCGACAGCGATGCAGCAGACTTTCAGGATTTGATCGCGACGCAGGAGTCAACTTTGGTTCGATCTGCTTTGAGAATGAACTCTCTCGACGGAGACGATGCGGCGCTCCTCAGCGAGTTCCTGTCGCGCGCACAGGCCAAACGAGCGGCTAAAGCTGCGAAGATACCCAAGGATGAGATGAAGGAAGAACTAGTACCCAACTCGCCTACGGTTCGAACACGCCAGGCTCTGGAGGAACTGGACAAGAATTCCCCATCTCCCCAGAAACCGCAGTTATTGTCTCCGTCCAAGGCAGAAAAGCCATCCGGTTCACCAGATGACCCTATGAAGGATGAGGAGGACGAGGAGGCCGGTAACCCGGCATCGCCAGCTGCCTGCCGCCGAAGCAGCAGAATACGGTTGCCCAAACCTCCGCAGCGTGCCCCGCGCCCGGCTGTCCCGAACCAGATTCCTCTCAGGCGCGCAAAAGGGACGGAGTTTGTATTTCTGCAGCGGACCGAGGCGCAGGAGCTGGCCCTCACGACCCGTCGGAACACGCGCCGCAACAAAGGAGACGCGCTGCTGCCTAAGTATGCCCTGCAGGCAATGGCCAAGCGGCAGGAAGAAGAGGCTGCATCATCTCATCTCGACAACAGCGACGATGCGGCTGCTCGCCAGTCTACGCGTAAACGGGCTGGTGCGAAGCAGGTGTCCTGGAAAGAGGATCAGCTCGTCGAGTATGTCGATGGGAAGAGCAAAAACAGCGGCAACGACGTGAGTGGCGGTGCCGACAAGAAGAAGACGGCGATCCGGCGCAATGCCAGCAAAAGCACCAGTCGGGAGAAGGAGACTGTCGCTGCAAGCCCCGGTTCAACGCCCAAGAAACCAGTGCGGCGCCTAGCGCTGCCGGCGGCTACCACCACCTCCTCAACTACCGATTCTGGTGCCACCACAAGCACGAAGCCGATTTCTGTGGGCACGCCGATTCCGAAACGCAAGAAACTGACGCCTAAGTCTCCGGGAGCTGGTTTACTGAAACTGCCTGCAAAAGGAGCCTTGAGCAAGACGGTGACTAGCAGCAGCAGCAAATCAGGCATCAAAACGACTACTAGCAGCACCTCCTCCTCCAAGATGAGCAAGACGAGCAGTATCCCTACCAGTAGCAGCAAGGGTCAGACCCTACTCAAGGCCGGGCCAGCAGGTGCGACGCCTATGGCCAAGCGTGTGCGGGCGAAAAAGGTGGCATGAAAGTGAAGAGTGAATATCAGTGGAAAGGACAGATTTTTTTTTCACGATGAGATAGCGTTATTGATCGATACCCC